GGCCTAACCTTTGCAGATTGTGTTGTGGTTTTAGCTTTATTACTTTCGTAATTTATCCCCAATTTCTTTGTCGAATGAAAAGTGAGAAGTTAAAACTTTTTCACATAAGAAAAGGACTTTAAAAGTGTTTCTGGTGAACAGGACTTGCATGTTTTGCTAGGGAAAAATCAGTATAAGCTAGCTTAGATGGTTTTGTACCGCTCCAGAAGTTAAAATGTAAAAGAAATGAAGTGTGTTAAATTTAATTAATAATGATAGCATGTCTTCCAGTTTTGGGTTGTTGGAACAGCCTTTGTTTTATAGCAGTATTTAACAATTTCATCAGTGAAGGGTTGAACTAGATAGGATAAAAATTCACTATGTGATGACAGATTTTGAGTATCAATACATATTCTGAAAGAGCTGATGCACCAATTAGAAAAACATAGAAATTCTCTATGATTATAGATTTCTTAGAAATTATACGCCTGTCTTAACATTTACAGTATTATACATCACTTTTGCTAGACAGGATACTGCAGTTAAAAATAATATATAAATTGTTGCTCAAAACCAAGAGCAGTTTTTTAAAAAAGTGCTGATAGATTTGAATTTGGCAATGAGTCCCATTGGAAATTCAGAGGGAGATGTTAGATTTATCTATGAAGAGAATTTGTGAGGTCTTCTATACCTAATAATGTATGTATACCAGATCAATGGCAGTGCTAAAAACCACGCGATAGAAGAATGGTGCTTTTTTGCCCTAGTGCAGAATAGGCAGCAGTTCAAGGCAGAAAATGTCATGACCAGTCCTGCCTGGGCCTAAAAGTATAACCCTTATGCAGTACTATCACTCTTTTATTAATAAACTCCATTATGGTCTTCATATATTACATGAGAAATAGCAAAGAATGGTTTCAATTGGAGTCTATTAAGAGTTCTGGCTGAAATTTCATAAACATTGGGTGCTGTTTTTCAGATATTGTGGCCAACTTCATTTGCTATCATATAAAAATAGGCATTTGATTTAAAATTAGCCACTTTACTAGTAGTGGCTATGGCTCTGAGCTCTTTAAGTATCCCAGTAGGGTGAGAACAATGTGGGATTTTAAGGAAGAAAGCCTTGCTGGTTTTGATTTATTGTATGTACCGTTAAACCATTTGGGGGGTGGGATGAGGGAGGAGACATAATTTTTTAATTAAAAAAAAATGTATTTGGAATTAACTGTTGCTGTGTACTAAACCCTCTTGTTACAAGTCCTAATAAATAAATCCCCCAAAACTTGCACTGCCCTCAAGACAATTGCCTTGAACTTTTTAATGATTATTTTTTGATGTGCACTTGTTATTACTAGACCTATTGGTTTCTGGCTATTTCTATATTTTTAGTAGTTTTAAGAATTAAAATGAAGTTTAAAATAAATAGTTTAAGTCCAAAAATAGTATGATGTGTGCTTGTTAACACTGATGTCCTTAAAGAAAGTTTGGAAGAGGAAAAAAGTACTTGTATTGACTGCCAACCTAGGTTGTGGTCAGTGTCCTCCTTTGGATAGATAGGATGGATAGGTTTATCAATTTGAATATCTGCATGAACAATGTAGAATTGTAGAATTTAACATGTGAGAATCACCGATCCCTTGGCAAATAGAAAGTTGGAGATAATTTAAGGAATTGTCCTGGATAAAATGATTGACTAGAATTCAATTCAGGTGTGTAGTTATTGATGAACCAGAACCTACAAAAATGCATTCCTAGCATTAATAAAAATCTTTCATGTGGTGGATCCTACTGGTGAAAAGCTAAAGTAATGAAGGCGACATTAAGGTTTAGTGCTGTTTTTTCAAGAGTATACCAAAATGGTTAAATACATAAGAAATTCAAATAGTGTGGCAGAAGAACCGATTCAGGATTTATCACAATGTATAATATACAGAATTATGTGAAAGTGTTGAGAATGTACTGTAAGAAAGAATATAAAGTCATTTACCACATTAATAGAGCTGATAATTCAGAAATAAACATGCTTTGCACATAGTTCAAATGGGAGGAAGTATTACAGGTGAAACTTGAAAAAATTAGAATATTATGCAATAGTTCATTTATTTCAGTAATGCAACTTAAAAGGTGAAACTAATATATGAGATAGTCTCATTAAAGGCAAAGCAAGATAATTCAAGCTGTGATGTGTCATAATTGAGATGATTATGGCTTACAGCTCATGAAAACCCCAAATCCACAATCTCAGAAAATTAGAATATTGTGAAAAGATTCTATATTCTAGGCTCAATGTGTCCCACTCTAATCAGCTAATTAAGCCAGAACACCTGCAAAGGATTCCTGAGCCTTTAAATGCTCTCTCAGTCTGGTTCAGTAGGAAGCACAATCATGGGAAAGGCAGCTGACCTGACAGTTGTGCAGAAAACCATCACTGACACCCTCCATAAGGAGGGAAAGCCTCAAAAGGTAATTGCAAAAGAAGTTGGATGTTCCCAAAGTGCTGTATTAAAGCACATTAATAGAAAGTTATGTGGAAGGGAAAAGTGTGGAAGAAAAAGGTGCACAAGCAGCAGGGATGACTGCAGCCTGGAGAGGATTGTCAGGAAAAGGCCATTCAAAAGTGTTGGGGACTTTCACAAGGAGTGGTCTGAGGCTGGAGTCAGTGCATCAAGAGCTACCACACACAGACGGATCCTGGATATGGGCTTCAAATGTCATATTCCTCTTGTCAAGCTGCTCCTGAACAAGCAACATCAGAAGCGTCTTACCTGGGCTAAAGAAAAACAGAACTGGTCTGTTGCTCAGTGGTCCAAAGTCCTCTTTTGCATCCCATTTGGAAACCAAAGACCCAGAATCTGGAGGAAGAATGGAGAGGCACACACTGCAGGATGCTTGAAGTCCAGTGTGAAGTTTCCACAGTCTGTTGATTTGGGGAGCTATGTCATCTGCTGGTGTTAGTCTACTGTGCTTCATTAAGTCCAGGGGCAATGCAGCTGTCTACGAGGAGATTTTGGAGCACTTCATGCTTGCTTCTGCAGACGAGCTTTATGGGGATGCTGACTTCATTTTCCAGCAAGTCATGGCACCTGCCCACACTGCCAAAAGCACCAAAACCTGGTCCAATGACCGAGGGATTACTGTGCTTGATTAGCCAGCAAACTTGCCTGACTGAACCCATAGAGAATCTATGGGGCATTGCCAAGAGAAAGATGAGAGACATGAGACCGAACAATGCAGAAGAGCTGAAGGCTGCTATTGAAGCACCCTGGTCTTCCATAACACCTCAGCAGTGCCACAGGCTGATAGCTTCCATGCCACGCCGCATTAAGGCAGTAATTGCTGCAAAAGGGTCCGAAACCAAGTACTGAGTACATATGCATGCTTATATTTTTCAGTGGTCCAATATATGTACAATCCTTGTTTTATTGATTGCATGTAATATTCTAATTTTCTGAGATTGTGGATTTGGGGTTTTCATGAGCTGTAAGCCACAATCATCACAATTATGACAAATCATGGCTTGAACTATTTTGCTTTGCATCTATCTCATATATTAGTTCCACCTTTTAAGTTGCATTACTGAAATAAATGAACTTTTGCATGATATTCTAATTTTTTGAGTTTCACCTGTATGTGTATTTGCTGTTTGAGTTACTTATGAAGTAATAAGGGCAGGGTAAATATCTAAACTAACCAAAAACTTAGTGCCAGATTCTGCCTCAATAAATTACCATGCCTTTCATAGGGCAATTTCTTACGTTTGTGTAAGACCATACAAAAATTTCTGTATAGCATTAACAAGTTATCTTAAACTAATTATAGGGGAGGGGTTAGATTATGTATGTCTACATATTAACTATGTCTACATACTGAGAAAACCCTTGAGTCTTCCAATTCAAAGTTCTAGGTTGGGGCAACTGTTCCCAGAACATTTTTAAAAGAAAGATTGCATTAAGTGAAAATCAGAACGTATAAGCTTTTTAGTGGTGTGTTTTTACTATATTTGGCAGTGGGAGGATAAAATAAAATATATTAAACCTCCAGTATGCTTAAAGAACCCCACTTCTCAAAAAAGAACAAGTGCAAACCCATCCTCTTCCAAAATGCTGACACGTTGGAAAACAGATGTCTCTCCCTCTGCGGCAACCTTGGTTGGCTTTATACACTTCATGATGCATTAATTTTCATACTGCCTTTCCTCATTAAACCTAGAGCACTCTTTGGAAACAACTGCAGCACTGCTTACAAGAAACTGAAGTCTGCACATATTTTATGTGGGTCCTGGGTGGATAAGCTGTGGTGATCTCAACCTTGCTGAACTTCTACTATAAGAAAATCCAGCTGAACAGCCACAAGGAGAGGAAAACTATTTCAACAAGTTTAAAAGTTGACTGATTAACCTGTGCAGCAACCAGCAAGGTCTTCTACTTCACTTTGAGCTGCTCAGGACCCCCAATATCTGCACAAATTAGCCAATACAGTAGCAGCAGTTGATGATGTTTGTTTCTTGGAGGCTTAGATGGCAAATAATGCTATAGCGTCTGACTGTTCAGCTTCTGTCCCTACCTTCTCTGTTAAAGAAACACTAGATTTGGATACGGTAGAACATGTTACTAATTTCCCATTTATCTGATGAAGGAATCTTAAATTTTTATTTAAGGTATTTATTCATATGAAAGAATATGAATTTCCTGAATACTGATGGGCAGTTTTGCCAGGTAGATGCCTTCTAGGGCAGAGGCAAATTATCTCTTGAAACAACCTCAGACAAATTTAACTATATCTTTATTGACTTGTGCATATTCCATTGTATAATGATTTCTTAGTTCTTTCCATGAATGCATTCTTATTTTTTTACCCATGCTTTAAAAAAGTATATTTGTACATATTTATAGAATATTTATATAGAAAGAGCTCTTCTCAACCATAAGTTCTTACTTGCAATGAGCTTTCATTCTTAAAAGGAAAGGATACGGGGAGGCAGTCTCATTCGGAAAGAATGTGCAATTTTTTTCCTGTAAAGCATATAGCACACATTGGCTACACAGACAAAATCATTGTTTTAACATTGGTGGTTTACATGTGCATAATCAGATACAAGAAACACCACCACTGACTCAGTCCAATGGCTGCAAAACAAATCAAATGTTCTTTCCCACAATTTACAATCCTAAAATTTACAATTACAAAATAGGCAAGCAGGGAAAAGCAGACAAGTATTGACCTTACCCATTTTCTGATGACAAAATACAAAGATTTGGGGGTGGGGGGTATGTTGCAGCAGTCACAAATAGGTACCTTAGAATGATACACCCACATTAAAATAAAAGCAATACCCATTTTGATCAGAAGCCTTGTTTTCCAAAACATTCGTACTATGGCCTGCATTCATGAAGATGTAAGCAGTTCTTGAGAGAACTACCGCAGACTATCCTGTTTTACTTTGCTGGACAAGGTCATCCCCAATATTGTGGGGCTGTCCTGCTGAAAGCATTGAATACTATACAGAGGTTCTCTTAACTCTCCAATCTACACATTCTAATTTCCACCAGGCAGAGTAGGCCAGTCATTATAACAATGCAAGAAAGTACTACATGAACCAGATGTAGATCCAGATCCTTCCTGTTACATTTGTGGAAGCTTCTGTAAGCTTCAAATGTATGAATTAGGGAAGAAGAGAGTATAATTATAATTAGTTGATGGGAATCCAGGAACCAAATTTTAACTGAACCCTACACTGAAGCAGCAGATACCAAATAACATTGGTGTACATCACATAAGACACTAGATTACTGATATGATTGAAATAGTTTGCTATCTAATAAGTTCCATACCACATATGGCAAGCATTTTTTCCTTGTAACAAAATGAGAGCTATAGTTTTAGATGACAATCAGTTCAGCTATAATGTATCAGGACCAACCACCCATTTATGTAAGGCTAGATATACATGTACAACATATGCAGCACACACAGAGAAATAGTTAATAGTAGAGATAATTGTGATGCACAATTTTCCTGTCTAGGGACCTCAGCCATAGGTATTGATGCCAATTCTTTTTGGTCGTAACATTCCTCTCAATAAAGATAGTTTAATCATATTAAAAATATTTTTAGCTTTTATATATTTTCAAGAATTATTCAAAAGAATAATTTATTAATAGGTTTAGAGAGCATATAGAAGTCACTTTAAAATATTGTGAAGAATCATTTCATCCTATTGTTATTAGACAGCATTTTAGATATACCTGCTTGCAAAATAATTCTAACAAATTTGTTTTTGGGTGTAACCCTGTTTTTTTTAACCTAAAACTCTTAAGAATTAAGTTTTTAAGGCCAAAAAGCTGTTCGGATTTATATTTTACTGATCAATGTACAAACCAAACAAATAAAGAAATGCCAGTGGAAATGAGATGTTTATTCACCAAAAGCTGAATTGAGCCATAATCCAGACATTCTCTCTTCATGATATTTAGGTATTTAACCATCTCTGGCTTAAATATTCTTATCCTTTGACTTCTCAGTTTCAAAGTTTAATAAAATATGCCATAATCTCCTGGGTTAGAACCTTTTGGGGAAAATTTTTGAAGAAAACTAGCCCTGAGTTAGACATTGAACGTATTTAAAATCCTAATTCAAAAAGAAAATATGAATGCTTGAACAATCTGATACAGAACTGAGGCCTAATTAACTGAATGGATATACTAATTAGGGCAATGATTCTAATCGAAAATGCAACCTACCTATTTGGTTCAAAACCAATCAAATTGATTTTCTGTGATGCTTCTCAGATACTTAACCAAAGGCCCGTGAGAAGGGTTGAAAAAGGAAGAGGTGCAAGGGCAGAAACAGGGATGTCCTAAAGCCAGAGGAAGTTAACCAAAAGGAGCAAAGAAAGTAGGTAAAGAGACCATTATGTTGGTAATCCTTAGAGAAAGTGTAGAAACCTACCTGCAAAATGGGAGCAACCAGGAAAGAAAGTTCTATATTAATATTCTTTTTAAAAGACCAAGTCTGGAAAAAGGCATCCCTGTGCTGCTGCTGCTGCCCAGGTCAAATTCTCTATCAGACAGAATTTGTCTTCCTTGGGGCACATAATTTAATTTGATGGCTTCAGATATTTAACTAGTACAATTGGGGGGGGGGGTCATAGGCAGGTACTGCTTATTTTTTTGCATATGACAATATTTTGTTAACAATTAGTGAATTCAGGCAGTACTTCATTGCCTGTCTCCAAAGAAACAGTGAACAAACTGTCCCACAGAAATTCTCTCTGTTTCATATTCACAAAATTAGACCTGTCCCAGAGCCATCAAGCAGTGGCGGCGGCGGCAGCAGCAGCAGCAACCAACGGGAATAAAAAGGCAGAGCACCAATGCATTCGCAAAGCAAAATTAAAAAATAAAGACCATACCATAAGACAAACCAAATATGTGTTAAAGTACACTAATGCAAATGTGGTTAATTGTTAAGGACACTTTGTAATCCCAAACACTTTGAAAGATACAAAAAGAAAAAGTGCCTTCTAAATAGCAGTACTTTAAAAATGCACAAAATGGTATATTATTATTGCTCAGATAAAATATTGTCAAATAGGAAAAATATGCCCAGGATACATCTGGGGCAGAGCAAATCATCTACTATAATTCAAGCATCCGATGACATAGCACCACTTTTCTGTTGTTAATTATTTATGACCCAAGTTCTACAAAGGAAAAAAAGATCACTTTTTACTTCTTTCTAGAACAAATACTCTGTAACGAATCCTTTTGTAATAATTCTAACAGAAGTCCAGGTGTGTTGTATGTGTTTAGTCATTTTAAATGTCTAATCTTCAGAAGTAATATCTGGTTGCTACATCCATAGCTGGATGAGACTGCTAACCTTTGAGGGTTCAAACTCAAATCCAAACTAGTAACTCAGTGATGATATCTTCATGAACTATCAGTTTACAACTGCCAATTTTAAAAGACATTTTTACAATCTCCTGTGTTGCACAGCACATGCACAGTAGTTATTTTAAGTTGTTTTATACATTCTAGGATATTTCTGGTTAAAACAGTGGTTCTGTAATTAGCATTTGACTTACCCACGAATCTTAGTGGAAGAAGAGCTATTTCACTTAAAGGCCATAAATTGTGGGATGGGTGAAACCAATGCTTCTCTTAGAGTTTAGTTTTTATACCAAAATGCACACTACTATCCTTTCAATACAATTTTATAGTTGCTTCCTCAGATACTTTCTTTTGATTTAAGCTGTTACCTGATGGTGTTCATCTGCCATGTTCTTTTAAGCTATAGCATCCTCACTATTTACTGCTTTTGAGTGTTCATAAAGAATTTTCCTTTTAAGAGTTTGTAATGTTTGTCTGATTAGATTTTATTCTGAAGAGAGAACGAGGAGGGGAGGGGGGAAAGAGAGAGTTGCACCCCCTATATGTAAACTTGTAATTTGATGATACACTATTTTCACTTAACCAAAACAGACATATATGTGACAGTGAATTAAATGTTAATTTAAATAGAGGATTACCAGTCCAAATAATCCCACTGAGAGTTTGGGGAATGATGATCTGGTTTCTAATGCACAACATTCTAATATGTTCAATTCCTTACACATTCCTCTTTAGAATATGTTACTAGAACATTATGTTTAAGCCCAATCCTACCGGTGTTTATTCAGGAGAAAGTTCTGATGTATTTTAAAGGACTTACCCCCCTTAAGAATTCTAGAACAGAATGCCTTTATTATCCAACATCTTAAACTTCAGCCCCACTGTACAGCATTTTTCTTTTTCTCTATATGGATTTCTATTCGGTAGTATTACAACCAGCATGTTTTGGTAGACTATGTCCAAATTTTTTCAATCAATTAATTCTGCGCAGAGACTGACAGAATTTATCAGCCCTGCATACCCGTCACCAACATTTTCCAATGATCTAAGGTGCCCCAACATCTTTGTTTCCAAAAAAAAAAAAATGGCTTTTCTAACACATCATCCAATTTCTGATAAAAAACTCAGTTGACTGAAACAATTACAGATGTACAAAAACATTCTGGTGAGCCTCTACAATTCCAACAAAATATTTCACAATATATTATATACCTACATTTATAATACATGCACCCACATGTCCCACACTGACAAACAACAGTTATTTCCTGAACAGCAGGAAAAATATTGTTAAAGATTTTGGTCCAATCCTTATGAAGTATTTGAACTTTGAAGTAGTAGTCATTCCATCCTTCATCCCAATACATAGAACACAAATAAGCAAAGCTTTAGGGACTGTTTCTGGAAGTGGATGTAGTCACTACCCGCGGCTACTGTTAAAACAGACTTCTTCAGTTCACAGCTATTAAGGTGAGGCGTCTCAGTACCAGATGTGTCCCGCTTAGGGTTTGCTGGCAATGCAAAGGTCTCCTAAATATCACCAGTCCCTGGACAGTTTGGTGTTTTGATCCCTCTTTGGAGGTGCTGGAGGTGGGCCCCTACGTAAGGTTGCATAGCCTAATATATGACTACCTCCAAAGTTGCTGGTCTTCTGCTTGTCTGTCAGAAGTTCTGGTGGGGGTGGGGGCAAGGCCATGTCATCCATTGTAGCAGTTGGCTCAGCTCTGGACATCCGGGCAGAGGACAGGGAGCTATGTCGAGTGATGGACTTACGCTGCAGAGTCCTATTCAAATCAGCCAGAAAACCAGGCTGAACACTAAGGCCGGACTTGGGTGAGGTGGGCACTTGTGCACTGACAACAACCTGCGACTCCACCATTTCTGCTTGTGTGAGACGGGTGCTGTCATTGCGTTTGGGACGTGTTGGAGGGGGAGCTTTCTTCCCAGATGACTTAGACCACAGCTGAGGTTGGGGATTGACGACAGCAACCTTTGGTGAGGTATTGCCTGAAAAGACAGCAGGAATTTCTACGGGAGGTAAAGGAAGATCGATTTCTGGTGGTGGAGGGGGAAAGTCTGAATCTGATGGAGGAGAAGGAAATTCCTCGGCAGCACCCTTGCCTAGTGCTCCTGTGGCAGGTGCTTTTGTTGAAATACCTGCCTGCTGAAGAACGATAGGCAGGCAGAGCTTTCCTGGCTTTGGAGGAGCAGCTGGTGGAATTGGGGATTCCTTACCAGGAGATCCCGAGGGCTCTGGGGGATGTGCAAATTTGCTAACTAAGACATCCACTGAAGGTCTCTTAGGTTCACTGGACTCAATTGAACTATTTGATTTTATACTGGAATTGCGCTGAGGTGTAGGAGGCGGCTTTTTTCCTCCTGGACTGGAAGTCTTACTACCTTTTTTGACTGGAGAACTTCCTGACTTATCTGGTGTAGGGGATACTATCAATGGAGAAGAAGGAGAAGGTGGAGGAGGAAATGCTAGGCTACTTTCAGGGGGTGGAGGGGGAAAATCAGGGGATGGAGCAGAGGTTGGCTGCCATTTTGGCTTGGCTTTTACAGCTGGAGGAGATTGAGGTGGTACACTCAGAGGGACAGGTTTTAAAGGCTGGGGCTCTGAAGCTGGCATGGGAGGAGGGGGAAACTGGCTGGCTATTTGCTTCACAAAGGATGGCACAGGAGATTGTGGAGAGGGAGGAAGCTTACTAGAGTGATTCTGTTGCTTTGGCAGAGTAGGTGGAGGAGACGGACCTAGTGAGGCAGGAGACAATGGAATTTGTGGGGTGGTTAAACTTGGCTGCTTCTTTACTGCTGAAGGAACAGGAAGCGGCGGTACTGGATGTGTCATGACTACCGAGATAGATTTTGCACTGTTTTGTGTAGGGAGAGTCATAGTAGGCTTAGGAGGAGCTTGTGGCAGTGGTGATGCTGGCCCTGAAGGTGGTGGAGGTGGCAAAATTGCAGATTGAACAATGTTGTGGTGAACTTGATGAATTTTGAGAGCGGGAGCAGGAGGAGGTGGCTGTGTGAATAGTGGTACTGATGGGTTGGAAGGCACAGGTTTCATGAGCTGTGCCATTGCTGATCCTGGGGTAGGGGGAGGAGGTGGAGGAGGCGGGGGTGGGACTATACCATTTGGAGGTACTAAATTCTGAGGTATTCCTGGAGGCGGGAGTGGGGATGGTGGCTGCTGTATTGTGATAGGTGATTTGTAGAGAAGCCCACCATGCTGAGAGGCATTCTGTAGTCTTGCTATAGTGCTATATTTCACAAACACTGTTGCTGAGCTGGTTCCAGATGGCACAGACTGACCAGGAAGAGGTGGAGGAGGTGGAGGTGGAGGAGGTGGGGGTGGAGGTGGGGGAGGTGGAGGAGGTGGAAGGGGAGGTGATGGTTGTGATGCTGAATATGGAGTAGCTATTTTAGTTTGTGGAGATAAAGGTGATACAAGTGAAGTGAAAGGTCGGTTTATTGAGTCCATTCGAGCCTAAAGGAGAAATGAAAGCAAAATGTTCAAAAAACAAATTCATGCAAATATCATTTATACTGGCAATTATGATCCTGTGTGCTCAATACACCCAATTAAGCTGAATTATGAAACCCTGAAGAAAAAGTGTCATTTAACTTAACAAATAAGAGTTACAGACAAAAAAACTACACAGCAGCTCGTGTGGGATCGCAATTCCACTAAGGACTGTGGACATTGCAAAAAATCTCCCTTTGGGATATTTCAAAGTGGAATTCCTTCACAATTCTAGAAAAAAAATCTATGCTGAAGAGCTGAAAAAATATGTGAACAAGCAATTATGATCAATAGAGTGAACGCAGAGTGAAAACTATCAAAACCTCCATATGATAGCATAAAGAAAGGCATGCACAAATATTTTGTGGGAAGAAATAAATAGTCAAGGAGAGAAACAGAACAGAAGGTATTGATAAGTTCTGGTCAAGGTGTTAAGGTAATTTCAGTAAGTTAAGGCATGTTTGTATGGAACCGAAATAAGGAAATCCACATTAAAGAATGCCTTGTCTTCCTGATTATGCAATGCTTTCGGTTAAATATTATAAAGCCAAGAATTCCATTACAAAAAAGGATCTGAAGTTTGGCAAGCAATAGCATACTGGAGATCTTTCATTCTGGGTAATGTAACCCAGGCTAAACCAGAACTACACAGTGAGTGGCATGACAGGGTCAAATTAAACTAGGAGAGCTTCAAGCACTTGTGAACTGATCAACAAATGTAAAGATTAGAACTCGGGAAAAGTTAGTTTGCATGATTTGGGTTGCATCATTCCCCCAGGTTAATAGTTCAAACAAAGCCCCTGACCTTAACTCTACCCCTGGCTTAAGCCATCACTGCAGTGGAGCACAGAGCTGTTCCAGGTTTTGCTTTTGCCACATGAGACTGCAGGGCAACAGGAAAAACAAGAACAAAAACACAGCATGAAACACAGGGGATCAGGGGACAGGGAAACCAATGGGGGACTTCAAGCAACTTTTCCCCACCATTTTCAGAAATCAGGAGGCTTTGTTGGCTTACACTTTGCACTTTGGCATTTTGCATTAAAAAAACCCAGGACCTTCAAACAAGTCCAGATTTTGTAATGGGAACATTCCCTCGTAACAATGCTTATACTTACGTTGATCTTGCTAGATTCTTCCAACTGAGTTCCCCTCTTCCAAGCTTCTGAAAAGATGGAGCTAACAATACTTTGGGAACGGACATGTCCTGTTTGAGTGTCTGAAACTCCACTGTCAGACTGATTTGAATGGTTGGACTGAGATTCTGTCAAAAGAAATATGAAAAATATTTGAAATTTTTGTCCTCATTAAAAAAATTCACAACTACAGTGGCTTAGATGGAGCACTATCACTCTATATTGCCATGGTGAACTGGATGGTATATAATAAAACGTTACTAAATTTGGGGAAGGAAAAGAGCAAGACAAAGCAAAAACCAAATCTTATTTTGATGCCAGTCATATAAACATACTCTCAATGTACAGATTCTCTTCACTTAATCACCAATTTAAAAGGTATCATTTAGGTCATATCAAGCTCAATGAAGACTTCTAAATTAAAGTAGTCCTAATTGAAATTGCTGTAGTTTTTGTTTGAATTTATCCTTTGGTTCCACTTTAAAAACATTTTTTATTCCCCCCAAATAATGAACCAGAAGCTGATTTTCTGTAAGGTAATTAATCAGTGCCTGAACACTTTCTTCTACATGATTCTTAAAAAATGCTCTATTTTTCCATTTTCTTGGTTTATCTTCATAAGACTTAGTTTCTAGTCCATTTACTATCTTCATTGTCCTTCTTTAAACAGTTTTCATTTATCTGAATATGACAGTTTGTTACATAGAATCTCACAAAGAAACTCAGTTGTAGTCTACTCAAAGCAGAACTTAGTGCAATAGCCATTACTTGAATACTTCAATTCACATAACTTTAAATTATATCTGCTTTTTAGCAGACATGCTAAAAAAAACTTGGGGCCAGCCAAGACCTTTCCCATGTATCATTATCAAACCATAAAACTCTAATTCTATATATGAGCAAATGACTTTTTCTTTGGTGAAGACTTTTACATCTTCCTCTACTAAGCTTCCCTTGCTATTGCTAACTTTATAGGATAATTTGATATCAATTCTGTCCCAAGTATTATTAAATCATTTAAAGACAAAAGTTCTAACCTCCCATATGAAAACTGAAATTGTTTCTGTTTCTGTTCTCAGATAGAATCTATTTCACACATGCTATCAAAATGTCCATTGATCACCGAATGACAATTAAGTTTAATATGTCCAATTGTCAATAACTTTAACTGCTATTGCAATCAGGAGATTGTTACCTTTCCCCTAGGTTACCATTCTTCAGAAACTAAGAAAGTTGCATTTTTAATTAATAGCTATAGCTGATAGAAATCATCTAAATCCTCCCTTGTGGTATTGTTAGATGCTACTTGCTTTAGGATTTTCTCATTTTTTAAAATTTCTTTTTTTATGCTTGCTGTATTATGTGCCGGTCTTTCTTTGTGTTTGGTCTGGGACTGTAAATAAACTTATTGTGTCTATTAAATTCATTCTATATTTTTAACCCTTCCTCTCATCTATCAAGCTAATTTCAAGCTTAGTGCCTGGCTTCTAGAGAGTGTCACTGGCAAATCTAGTAAAAACTTTGAGGAGGAACAACTGGTGGATTGTTTATTTCAGTGGGTTTCCAAGTAAACTGACAAATACGTTTCTGAAGTCAAGAAACATTTACATTTACAGCATTTCCAAAATCTGCTAAGACAATTGACTGATAAAAAATGAAATTAAAAATTACAGGTAGTCCTCAATTTATGACCACAATTGAGCCCAAAATTTCTGTTGTAAAGTGAGTTTTGCTCCATTTTACAACCTTTCTTGCCACAGTTGTTAAGTGAATCTTTGCAAGTGTTAAATTAGTACCACAGGTGTTAAGTGCAGGGGTGGGATTCAGCTGGTTCAGGCAAACCAGATGTTAAATTTACATCTAGTTCGCTGAACTGGTAGGTGAACCGACTGGCTGGCCCCACCCTCCCCTCCCCTCCCCAGAGTTTCATGTTGCCCATTTTGGATGCAGGTAAGGGCAGGGTCCACGCAGAGGGCAAAAAATGGCCCTCCTGGAAGTTTTGTTTCCGGCTTCTAGAGCCCGGGTGAGGCCATTTTCACCCTCCCAGAGGCCTGAGGGAAGCCTGGACTCTGGGGAAGGTGAAAAACAGCCCTCCCGGAAGTTCCGGAAGTGGGCCTGTTTCTGGCTTCTGGAGGACTTCCGGAGCCCAGGGGAAGCCATTTTCGCCCTCCCAGAGACCCGAGGGAAGCGTCCGACTCTGGGGAAGGCCTCCTGACTCTGGGAAAGTTCTGGTAGGCCACACCCACCATAGCCACGCCCACCCAGCAACTGGGCAGAGAATCAGTTGTTGGGATTTTTGAATTCCACTCCTGGTTAAATGAATCTGGCTTCCCCATTAACTTTGCTTGTCGGAAGGTGATCATATGACCCCAGGACACTGCAACCATCATAAATATGACTCAATTGCTAAATGCCTGAATTTTGATCATGTGAGCATAGAGATCCTGCAATGGTCTTGTCAGGCTACAGAACTTTTCCCATTCAATCAACTAGAATGAACTTCTGAAAACTAAACGTATCAAAAGGAATCCTTTATTGATATGAGACAATTCATGTAGGGATTAAAAGCAGTGTCTAAGGTCTCTCAGGCATGCAGAGATAGACAAAGGAGTTTAAAACCCCTCCCCTTGATGTGTATTTAGTAAAACAAAGAGCCAACATGTTAATTCCCACACCCCCTTTTTAGAGCGATCTTTTCCAGAGTTTCCTAGGGCACATCTCACTGTGGAATTTTTATGGTCTCTTCATCCCTGGCTATCTTTTCCAGAAGTGATAGATTTCTGGGCATCTGGTTTTCATCCCTCCTTTGTATCATGTGTAGGTTATACAAATTCAATATAAGATTAAATATATTCAGGTTACATCAAAAAGGATTTCTTTATCAGTCCCCACCACCCCCTGCGTTCTTCCATTGAAGAAATGACAGATACATGGATCTGACAGGTCCTAAATGTGAAAAATGGTCGTAAGTCATCTTTTTTCAGTGCTGTTGTAACTGAATGATCACTAAATGAACTGATGTAAGTGAAGGACTATATTTTAACAAGATATTTTCTTAAAAAGTCCACATGGACTACTCCTAATCACTATTTTTAAAAAGCAGATTGCATATTTTGCTTCCACATTAGACTCCAGGCATAATTTTGATACCGAAGGGGATGAGGTAGAGAAAGAGAAACACATATATTTTCATTAGCCACTGAATCAATACATATATACATTATACACAGAAACAGCTATTAATTGGTCTGTTGGAGCTTACCTGGTAAACTAGATGAGCTGGATCCAGACTTAATACTGGAACTTGACAGGGATGTCCAATCATATGCTGATTCTGTCCTTTTCAGAGCTTCTTGATAGTTTATATATAATTGCTTCCCATACTGTACAAAATATGAAATATGAATGCTGCTTGTTACAACATTTCCAGCTGTATGACTCAAACCCAGGACAATCCCACTGCACACTCTTCGATGAAAGCAAGTATTAGAATGTTTCTTTTTAACTTTGATATGTCAAAAAAGAGGTTCAGAATTATTGTTGAATTGATTAGAAATAAAATAAATAAATAAAATAAAAATGTTAAAACCTGAATATATTTGTGACAAATAAAGGGGTTCCATCCATTGGTTGCACAAGAAGGCAGCCTGAGCAACCCTCTTCATCTGAAAGAGATTGGTATACTTAGAAAATAGCCAGAGATGTTGCCCTTAAGTTTCAGTATGATTGGGTGAAGAAATTGCCTCAAACTTGCACCAGGAAGTTTTTCCCCCTCCTTTGTTTCCAGAAAATCCTGGCATTGCCTTCAAGTTATTTTGCCTACATTTAAGCTGAGTCAAACAGACTTTTCTAATTTTACAACGGTACTGTTAAGAAAAAGTATCAATTTAAAGAAGAAAAGGTATATGGGTAATGGGATTGTGTTTCAGATTTTGTCAAAGACAAACACACTGCACAATCATGGTAAATTATCATTCATTCTTCAGAAAGTGCATTAATTGTAAAGTTATCTCTTTCGTGTCCCTTGAGATGTTAGGGGTACAGTGGAAGATGCTTTTAGCATCAAAGGGCAGGGAAAGGGATATTGGGAGGCTGCAGCCTGGCTACTACCGGAAGTGATGGGTGCTGATGGCCTTCCTTCCTTCCTTCCTTCCTTCCTTCCTTCCTTCCTTCCTCCCTCCCTCCCTCCCTCCCTCCCTCCCTGTGTGTGTGTGTGTCCTTCCCTTCCTTCCTCCCTCCCTCCCTGTGTGTGTGTGTGTGTGTCTCCCCTCCCTCCGTCCCAATCAAAGTAGTCTAGTGGTTAGTGATAGATTAGCTAATGGAAACTTTCTGGGTTCTTTTTCTTATGTTCAAGTCATTTGTTGGTAAAACATCCACTGTCAATTTTGATTTTTATTGTAGTCATTGCATTTTGTTTCACACTCCTTATTCTTTGTTATTGTGCATTGCCTTGCTATGGATCATAGGTGGGAATGTTTGTAAATTGATACTCACTGCCATCTAGAGCAGGGGTCGCCAATCTTTGGACCTGAGGGACCACCAATCTCATAATTTTAAATCCCAGGCAACCCTAACCTGTTCTGTGGGCGTGGCCTAATTTGTCGGTGTGGCTTGGTGATCATGTGACTGGCTGTGCATGGCTTATATGTAAATATTATAAATATATAAATATTGGATTTTTTATAAAATAGAGCAACTTTTGCCCAAAATCAGGCAAAGCAGGCAGGCAGATTGAGTTGCTCAAAGAATCACAGAGTCATTTAGAAATCTATCTATCTGCCATCGGCTAGCTCAGTCTGTCACAATTTGCTTGCCATGAGTCTGCTCTGAATAATAGAACCTTCAGTCCTAAGGGAGGTTTGGGTATGCTTAAAAGCAGAGCCAAAGATCTAAAGTCTAGTTAGAAAGCAAGAAATCCAACCATTTCCTGCTTCCTAGCTAATCTAAATCTCCCGGCACAGCAGAACAGCTGATGGTCGGAAAAAGGAAAAATAGCAATTTAGCAGGCAAGTTTGCCAGGTAAGGAGTGAGTGGGCGGGGAGGCTTCTCATGGGCCATGTGGGAAGCGCAGCCTTGGGTTTCTGTGCAGCCTGGATTAATTGCTTTGGGAGGGTGCTCTAGAGGTGAGATTTCTCTGCGGTCCACCAAAATTTTCTCACGGCCCACCGCTTGGCAACCACTGATCTAGAGTACAGAAAAACACCCTAAAAAGGGTTAATTACTGGCAAGGTTGAACCAGCTAGCTTTTATCTGTCACTTCGTTCAAGGCAGGAGAATAAAACACCAGTATATTTACTGCTTGGTTATTTTCCTTTTTTCAGTTATTCATATTTCAGATAAAATTATATTCTGCCATGATATTGGCTTGATTTAATTAGTATTAATCTGTTCATATTAAGAGGGCAGAATAGGGCAATAATTAAAGTAGAAAAAGATAACAAATTTGGTTCAAGAGTTTCCCAAAATTGCAGTGGATAAAACTAAGAGTTATTCTAATATAGAATTAATGCTTAAAGAAAAACATGGACAGAAGGAGGTAATACCTTAGCAATACGGATGCCATTTATCCACTGATGAAGGGTTCTGATATCATCACAACATAAATACTTAATATATTGAGATTTCTTCTGAATTTGGGGATGCTGAAAGAGAAATATTTAATCTATTTTGATCAGATTGAAATAAGTATTTACAGAATTAAAATTAATCATAACGGAGACAGCTGAAGCATATTCAAAATTGACACTATTATTGTCTGTATGCTATGTTTTCATAAAAAGATTAGAATAAATCTTCCAAATAAAATGAAGATATTGTGATTTTTTTCTAATAGGGAAATAAAACCTGTACTTGGATTAATGTTAAAGAAACTTTAAATCTTCTTAAACGAAAACAGTTCAAGATGATATAGATGTCATGTCATGAAATCCATAGCAGATAGAAACAAATTGCATGAAGTTATGGACAGTTTTCTTCAATGTTTATTTATCACATCAGAAGAATTAAGTCAATAGTTACCTTTAGTACCAGACAATAGTCTGTAGGAGCTTTGTACTTGTTGCGATAATCTTGTCCATAGTAAACATTAACATGATCCAATTGAAGAAAGCACACAAGATCTCGTGAGACCTATCAATAATGACATACTTGGTCATGGACAAAGAGGACAAATCATATCAACAAATGTCAATTCTGTCAAGGCTACTGTCTATATATAGTACTATACAAAAGTACAATACATTTGTTTGGGCACACTAAATGCTGATTTGATTTGGATTTCTCTTATGTTCATTTACTTTCCATTTTGTTAATTGATAAAAATAAACTATTAACACTTCTATTTCTGAAAGCATTCTTAATTTATACCACTTTTGCACAGTACTGTACATTCTCAACTAAATGAATTGCACAACCTTTATATAACAGAAACATTAGTTATTTCTATTTATTGATGAAATTTATATTTTGTCTTTTTGTTTAAGTGCATAAAGCATTGTCTCCTTTTTCTCCAGCACATCTCTGTGAAGCAGGTTGGGCTGAGAGTGAATGCTGGTGCAAAGTTACCAATCTAATGAGCTTTTGTGATAGATGGTAGAGCAAAACCTAACTCTTCCCAGTGCCAGGCCAACATCTTAACCACTATTTCAACCTCTCATTCCAAAATATGAGGGGGATGGCTTGTCTATTATTCACAAATGAGGGGAATACCAATATGCAAATGATACAAATCACAATCCTCTTCAGAGATCTGCATCATGGTATATTACATAAACATATCATTAATAAAAATTTAAATGCCTCATTTGTATTACTATATTTTGGGTACAAGACCATTATTTTTGAAGGAAGTCTGGCCAGAAATTTGGTCAGATGTATCTGAAGTCTCCTAAACAGAGTCTGTTTAATAAAGGTTTCACTGCATACACAAATGATGTATCTTTTTTATAGTAATTATCAATTATCCATTATTTAATGATATCCTCTAAAGATTAGGTGAATTTTTAACAGATAGATCCAGCTTTGGAAGAAATCATCAATATTGTACATCAATATTGTACAACAAAGTTTTGGGGTATGTGTGTGTATATATATATATATCCAATCCAATATATATATATAAATCCATATAAATCCATATAAATCCATATAAATCCATATATATATATGATTTCAGGATTCCATCACCACAATGTTTAAAAATTATGTGCTGAACCTAGATGAAACAAGCATATTCCAGCAATCATAACAGAAGCTATAGGTGTGTGTCTGTGTGTGTGTGTGTGTGTGTGTGTGTGTGTGTATAATCTTTTTCAGGCCGCTAGTCAATTTGAAAGTGAAAGCTCAGCTTTGAACATTCCCAGTGCAATGTGATATTTTGATGACTGCTTCATAAATAAACCATAAAAGTGCATTTTACAGTGTGTTTTCGGTAGTAAAAGTTGCAGTCAAGCGCATTTGAAAAGACGAGCACTATATGAGATTCAAAAGAGATTTCACCTTTGCTTTTCCTTTTGGAACATAGTAGATTCCAGAAGCTCGCAGAAGAAAGTAACGCTTCTTCCAAGATTTTTTACCATCATCTTTCAGCCACAGGACTCCTTCGATTTCTGGCACTGTTACTGAGCTTCCACAAAAACACTCCTAGAACATATGGGTAAAGGAATTGTGAAAAATGAACTTTATGTAATTAACAAGAAACCTTTTTGTGTTAGTTGTCTATTCAGTCTTTCCTTTTCTATCTCTTAGAATGAGGATGGGGAACTTCAGCCCAAAAGGATAGGTATCCTGGCCTATGGGGACTTGGATGACTTAAGCAGGGAAACAAGTTTAGCTCCCTAATCCTGGTATAAGACTCAGTCATTTAAGCATGCTGAGATAGAGAAAGTATTCTGGAAAAACATTTTTCTGAAAAACCTACTTTTCCACTATTCCAAGTTTCTGTTTGTTCCTATTTCTAAGTAACTAACACTTCCTCATCGAACATCTTAATTATGGCAGATGAATACTACAATATTCTTCATTATTTTTCACGTGGCAGACAGATTTTAGTTGAATTCTGTGGGTGAGTTCTGGACTGTTTCAAGATATTAATGCAGCAGATTTCCTTTTTGTGGCTCATAGTGAAGTGGTTACCCTCTTATCAACTTACCTCCAGTAGTACTTCCTTGTTCCTGTCTGCCATTTCAGAGGTTTCTCTTTTCCCAAGAAGATAATTCTGCAATAGAGAAATAGAAGCTACAGTTGACCGATGTAAAATAATAGAAATGAAATAGCTATCTGAGTCTCATCTTTTCCTGATGCTAATAGAGTGCTATTTTTGAACAAATCTTTTCTATATGGAAACATATATAAATTTATGGGAATAATATGAAATCTAAAGGCAGGTTAAGGCAAGCATGTTTATTCCCAGATACAAAAACCTGGTCAAAAATTTAAATGCAAATACATTTTTTAATATTTCTCAGAATATTATTAGGAAGGGAATGGAAAATCAAAATAAATTTAAGAAATACTCCCTTTCAGATCATAGTTATGGTTTCAATAAATTATATTTAATAAATTTTAATGCATTAAGCATATAAAAACAACCACCACAAAGGATGTTTAAGCCACAATGGATGTTCAAAAGTAGAAAAAATAGCTTTATTGTAAGGACCAGACTCTTTCCTCTTCAACTGATAAGAATGAACTTCTGAAAGCTAGGTACTTCAAAAAGAATTCTTTATTGAAAGGAAGTGATCCAGGTACTAGCCAAAGCAGGCATACAGATGCCTCCAGGCATACAGTATAGATAAAGGGAGTTAGAACTTTATTCTGATGTGGATTTAGTCAAACAAAGAAACAACATGTTAATCCCCCCCCCTCGTTTTCTGGGAATGTATCTTAGAATTCTATGTACTTCTAAAAATGAAATCATCATCTCTTTCTCACCATTAAAGAATTTATTTTTCAGACTGTATTTATTCTATAATTAAATGCTCTATAATCCAAATTCACTTAGGAGTGATTTCTTCAAAATATAAAAATAATTTATAATCAAGGCAACATACAAAAAAGGATATAAAAACCCTCTATCAATAAAACAAGCTTTTTACATTTCCTCTTTTTAATTGACAATAGCCCCATAAGGCACTTTTTAACATACATTTACAAGCTATGAAGGAACAAAAAAAATCACAGGCAGTCTATTTTCTGAATGAACTAATATTGCCCTTCAGAATGAGACAAGGTTAATTGCACAATAAGATCACATGTGCACACACTTATTTTCCCCCCCTGTAAGCACCGGACTTTTCCCCTTCAACTGATAAGAATGAACTTCGGAAAGCTAGTTACTTCAAAAGGAATTCTTTATTGAAAGGAAATGAACCAGGTAGTAGTCAAAGCAGAATCTAAGATGCTTCCAGGCATACAGTAATAGATAAAGAGAGTTAGAACCCCATCCCTTATTCTGATGTGGATTTAGTCAAACAAAGAGACAACATGTTAATTCCCCACCCCTTCTTTTCTGGGAACGTATCTTAGAATAGTTTCCCAGGAAGTTTCTTTCAGAGCTGGAATTTTTATGGTCCCTTCTCCTCTTGCTATCTCTCCAAGAGGTGACAAGTTTCCAGACATCTGGCTCCAGTCCCCAGTTGTATATCATGTGCAAGTTATACAGATTCAATTCAAGACTTAAGATATTCAGGTTACATCAAAAAGGATTACTTGTACCAACTCCCCCCTTCTTCTTCCATTGAAGAATGGCAGATACACTGGATCTGACATGTTTCTACCCATTGATGATCTCACCATTAATTTTAATACATAATACATTATGTCTTGTTTTATTTTATTTTAAAAATTTTTATTTTTATTCTGGTCTGTGACAATAATACAAGATTGATGGAAAGCATTATACTTACTTGGGGATTTTTAAAAAGGGCATATTTTTCAATACGTTCAACAAACATCAGTTTGTTTTGACTATCTCTTGTCCAGTTCAGGAGGTTTTCAACTAAATTTTCATGGTCTTCAAAAATCCTCTCTGCATAGTTACGGAAATATAAAACCATTTTAAATTCAAAATCAAGTCATCTAATTTTATAGACTAAAGTCCTTTCCCTAATGTCATATGACAATGCATATTAATGAAAAAGTAAAATTGAAGAACATGTATATTTCATATTTACTAAAGACAGGTAAAAGTCAATTTTCCAATTATATGGTTTCTATAATGCATAAATAAATATATGCACTTTTTACTTGTGAGAACATATTCTACAAACCTATTTTGCATATAAATGAATGTGTGTGTATTCATTATAATAATTTCATGGAAAGAACGTTGTCTTACCTGAACGCTTCTTCTCAGCACGGCGATAGAGAATCCACACATGGGGTAGATACACGTCTTTCTGCCCAGAAACTGAGTCCTTTTTTTTTTTGAACCACACCCCTCTGTCAACTGTCACTTTCCTAGTTCACGACGAAGCGCAGCTATCTGAAGGACTTTTTGGTGGCGTTGGCTCTTCCTATCCTGAATGAGGGACTTGACTGCCTCCGGGGGGGGGGGGAGTAGATTCTCTATCGCTGTGCTGAGAAGAAGCGTTCAGGTAAGACAACGCTCTTTCTCCAGCATGTCGATTGGAGAATACATACATGGGACATACCAAAGCCTGGCTGTCCCTATGGGCAGGAATTGGTCTGGTCCTGAGTCCCCCTATCGACATGCACTCACTGAAGCACCTCCTGTCAAAAGCAGCCTCAGCCAAGGTGAATGTATCCAGCTTATAGTGGCATACAAAGGGAGATGGTGAAGACCATGTCGCCGCCCTGCAAATCTTTTCAATCAAGGCCTGCGTCGCCCAAGCAGCTGTAGTTGCAGCACTTCGAGTAGAATAGGCGGTTAATCATCTGGGGACCGGAATAGACTGTGTCTCATAGGCCTTGGCTATACATGCCCTTATCCAACAGCCTATGGTCAATAAAGTGACCTCTGAACCTAGAGAAGATGTTTGAAATGAGACAAACAGTGATTAAGTTTTGCAGTGAGGTGGAGTTCGTTTGATATATCTACATAGTGCTGTCCTCACGTGCAGTGTGTGCCATTTCTGTTCCAGTAAATGAGAAGGTCCTGCACAGAAGTTTGGCAGCACTATCTCCTGGGCCCGGTGAAACTAGGAGTTGATCTTGGGGATGAAGGAGGGATTTAGACATAGAACCACCCTGTCTGTATGGAAGGTGCAAAGTTCCTCTCTGATGGAGAGAGCAGCCAGCTCTGATATTTGCCTGGCCATTAAAAAGGTAACCTTGAATGACAGGTATCGCAGACTCTTAGACCTAAGCGGCTCAAAAGGTGCTAAGGTGAGGGCATGTAGAACTTTAAACAAGTCCCAAGTTGGGTACCTGTGTACAACAGGTGTTTTCAAGTTAACTACCCCCCCTTAGGAAAGAACGCACTACCAGGTGGTGCACAAGTCCCCATAAGTCAGCACTGAGGACAAGGCAGCCATTTGTCTCCAGATAGTATTAGGGGCTAGCCCCTTGTCTGGACCCTCTTGTAAAAAGTCCAGGATCTGTGGAATGGAGACTGACATGGGGTCCAGGTCCAATCTACTACACCAACTGCAGAATGCCTTCCAAGTAGAGTTTTAAATTCTATTGGTGGAAGGTCTCCTGGAAGCCTGGATTGTATCACCTTCCTTGAAAAGTTGTCCCTCATCAGGATCCTCCTCTCAAGTGGCAGGCGGTCAGTTGGAGCCACTGAGGCTCCGGGTGGACCAAGACCCCCTAGTTGCGGGAGACCCTGTCCCAAGGAATCCTCCAAGGACGGGACACAGATAGGCTGATGAGATCTGCAAACCATGGCCGTCTGAGCCAATGGGAAGCGATGAGCAGTATCCCTGCCTGTTCCACTAAGAGTTTCCTGATCACTTCCGGTATGATGGGAAGAGGAGGGAATGCATATAATAGGGCCCCGGGCCAGGGGCAGCGGAGGGCGTTGACTCCCTCTATTCCAGGTTTTGGAAACCTCATGAAATATCTGGGCAGTTGCGAGTTCATCGGGGTGGTGAACAAGTCCAGGATTGGGTGGCCGAATTTTTCACACATTTCCTGGAAGATGTCCCAGTGCAGCTGCCACTTGGAGTAGTCCACCGTGGTCCTTTTGAGAAAATCTGCCTGTACAATTTGTTGCCCCCAAGATGTGCTCTGCCTTGATGGAAAGCAGGTGAGCCTCTTCCCAGAGAAACAGTTGGTTTGCCTCGCGCATGAGGGACCTGGAGTGGGTGCCCCCTTGGTGATTGATGTGCCACATTTGTTGAAACATTGTTCATCATGATCAGTAAGTGTTGTCCCTCTATGGTAGTCTGGAAGTGTCGGAGGGTGAGTTGGATCGCTTGGAGTTCCAGCCAGTTTATGTTGTGTTTCAGGTCTGCCTGAGACAACTGACCCTGCTTCAGCTGCGACTGAAGATGAGCTCCCCATCTGAACAGGCTGGCTTCCAAGGCCAGGGTTCGGCAGCTGGACTCCTTGAACTTTGCTATTGCTGGACACCCACCACCTGAGGGACCCAAGTCTCTCTAATGGTATCCTAACCATCGAGATGGAATTGCTGCCCCCTGCCCTCTGGAATGGTAGCAGAAACCATTGCAGGGTTTGTTAAGTGTGATCGAGCCCAAGGTACTATGGCTATGCAAGAGACCATCTTTCCCAGGAGCTGTGAGAATATGGCCAATGGAACGAATCGTTCCATCCTGATTTGGTTGACTAAGGACTTGATGCTGTCCTGTCGTTCCTGGGAAAGACAGACCTCGAACAGCTTGTTGTCTATAACTGCTCCTAGATGGAGCAGATAAGTAGTTGGTACAAGATGACTCTTTTGAAATAGCTAACACCCAAGAAGATAGGCTCAAGATCCAGATGGATCTTGACAGAGTAGAACACTGGGCTGTATCTAACAAAATGAAATTCAATGTAGAGAAAAGTAAAGTCCTACACTTAGGCAAGAAAAACCAAAAGTACACATATAGACTGGGTGAAACCAGGCTCAATAGCAGTAACTGTGAGAGGGATCTTGGAGTCTTAGTGGACAACCAGCTAAATATGAGCCAGCAGTGTGCAGCAGCAGCCAAAAAAGCCTATGCAATCCTAAGTTGTATTAACAGAGGGATACAATCAAGATCAAGGGAGGTACTAATACCACTCTATAAAGCCTTAGTAAGACTACACCTAGAGTACTGCATCCAGTTTTGGTCACCACATTATAAAAAAGATGTTGAGATTATGGAAAAAGTACAGAGAAGAGCAACCAGGATGATTAAGGGACTGGAGACTAAAACATATGAAGAACGGTTACAGGAACTGGGCTTGGCTAGTCTAGTAAAGAGAAGGATCAGGGGAGATATGATAGCAGTCTTCCAATATTTGAAGGGCTGCCATAGAGAGGAAGGGGTCAAGCTATTTTCTAAAGCGCCTGTAGGCCAGACAAAGAATAATGGATGGAAACTGAACAAGGAGAGATTTAACCTGGAAATAAGGAGAAACTTTCTGACAGTGAGAACAATCAACAAATGGAATACCTTGCTCTCAGAAGTTGTGGGAGCGCCATCACTTGAGACTTTCAGGAAGAGATTGGACTGCCATCTGTCAGAAATGGTGTAGGGTCTCCCACTTGGACGGGGGTTGGACTAGATGACCTACAAGGTCCCTTCCAACTCTGATTATCCGTTAAGTATCTGTTAAATTGACCTAGCTCTTCTGCAGCTGGTCTTCCTAAGCTGAGCTGAAGTAGAAGCTCCCTGGTCTACCTGTTGACAGGAGCTGTTCAGCCATCTTAACAGCCTTACTTCAGCAGGGCGATGCAACCACGCTCTGCTTAGAGACTGCTGCTCTGCTGCTGGTGTTGCTGGGGAGAGCGATTGAGTATTGGCAGCAGGACCAGCGCACTGGGGTAGCCAGCACGCACACTCACCCCTATTCTCAATCATGCAGTCCAAAACAAAGGCTGCTAATGCAGACTGAATCTCTGCAGCAGCCTGAGCCTTTAAAACAAAAGCTGCTAAGCCGGAAGTTAATTATAGGCTTGACAGCCTATAATTATAGGCTTGACAGCTGAAACTCAGCTGTGAAGTGGCAGGGATTTGGCTGGAAGAATCTAGCTGTTAATAGCAAGGCTTTGGCTGCAAAAATTAACTGAGGGCTTCTGAGTCGGCAGAGACCAGCATCTGGAGCCTCTGTAGTGCTTAGACAGTGCTCCGATCTCCCCTCCCTATCCAGGAAGCAGCTTTAAAAAAAAAAAAAAGAAAGACAACGTCCAAGCGAATTCAGCTGCTCATCATCTTCTGAAAGATAGTCTATTTGATGATACAAGAAAAAACATTTTCTCCTTAGTCCAACCAAACAGAATACAGGGTGGGACTGGATTCTCCCTTTGGCTCCCCGAGAAGAGGCGTGTCAGGTAGGACCAATGCCCCTTCTCCACTGAGCCGAAGGGGGAATCCAGGATGGGACATACCAAAGCTGGCTGATGGCTTTCCTACAGGTGGGAACTTGACTGGTCGGAGGTCCCCACCTCTACATGAATGCCCTGCAGGATTCATCTTCCAAAGGACACCTCTGCCAAGGCAAAGGAGTCAATTTTATAATGTCTTATGAATGGGGTCACAGACTACCATGTTGCAGCTCTACAAATGTCTGGAACCGATGTCTGCATTGCCCAGGCTGCAATGGTCACTGCACTCCTGGTTGAGTGCACAGTGATTCTCCTGGGCACAGGAAGAGCCTGTAACTCATAGGCTTTTGCAATGCAGGCTCTAAGCCAGAGACCCATGGTAAGAAGGTATCACCCTGCAGCCCAAAGTTGATGGCTGAAAGGAACGAACAGGGCTTCAGTCTTCCTAAAGGAAGAGGTTTGTTTGATGTAAATATGGAGGGCCCTCCTAACATCCAAGGTGCGCCATTTTCTTTCCAGTGCATGGGTAGGCCCTGGACAGAAGTCAGGCAAAATCAACTCCTGTGAATGATGGACTTAGGAATTCACCTTGG